CCAGTCCTGAGAGGTGCAGATGACTGCTGGACAAATCACCGTTTAGTCAGATCAACCAAGGGCATGAAGCTTGCACCCCAACACGGTAAAAAACTGAAAACAATGTGGAAGAGATTTAACATCAAGGCGCTCCAAAACCAAGATAGAAGTGAGGCTCTTCAGCAACACCTTACTGAGAGACTCTCTGACCTACCTGATGACATCAAGGACATTCAGGCACATTGGGCAAAGCTTAAAAACATTTTTCACAAGGCATGCATTGACTCAATTGGATACTCCACTGACTGTCACCAAGATTAGTTTGATGAAAGCAGTGAGGAAATCCTAGCACTTATCCAGAAGAAGAGAGCCACGCTCTGCAGTTGGAAAAATGAACACTCCAACCAGGAAAAATGAGAGGCTTACCACTAGCTCAAAGCTGTAGACCAGAGGACATCAAGAACCAGTGGTGACAAGTGAAAACCATGGAGATCCAGAGTTTTGCTCACCAACATGACATGAGAAGCTTCTTTCAAGAAATAAAAGTCATCCACGGGCCATGTTCCAGTGGCCCAACCCCTTTGTGATCCTCTCACGGACAATGTATCCATCAGGCAATGCTGGAAGGAGCACTTCAAGACTCTATTCCACCATGAAACTGAGGTCTCAGGTGCCACGATGGAGGCAATCCCTCAACACCCACTAACAGAACCTCCTGCTGATCCCCCATCTTTCAAGGAAGTCTTGTGTGTCATCACTCAGACCAAGAACAATAAGACACCAGGCCCAGATGACATCCACGCAAAGGTCTTCAAAGCTGGTGGAACAGCACTAGCGCAAAAATTTCACCAACTTCTCATCAAAATGTGGGTTAATAAGAAAGTGCCACCTGACTTAAACAACACCAACATTGTGGCCATCTTTAAGAAGAGGGACAAGTCAGTGTGTGGGAAATACTGAGGCATTGCCCTCCTCTCTGTTGCTGGGAAGATTCTTACTCGCATCCTCCTGAATCGCCTCCTCCCCCTGGCCAGAGATGCCCTTCCAGAATCTCAGTGTGGCTTTAGACCATCTTGGGGTGACACTGACATGATTTTTGTTGCATGACAGATCCAAGAGAAGTGTGGAGAGCAATACCAGCAGCTGTTTATGGTATCCGTTGTCCTAACCAAGGCCTTTGACTCCATCAATCGCGAAGCCTTATGCAAGGTCCTGGCTAGGTTTGATTGTCCACTGAAGCTCATCAGCGTCCTCAAGCTACTCCATGATGGCATGACTGCCACAGTCCTGTGCAATGGATCAGAGACAGACCCATATACCATCTCTACCGGTGTCAAGCAGGGCTGTGTCATCGCCCCAACCCTTTTTTCCACCTATCTTGCTGTGATTTTGATTCTCATCCGTGACAACCTTCCTCCCAGAATTGAGGTTGAGTATCAAATGGATGGTCAGCTTTTCAATCTGTGGCGCCTTCACAGCAAAACAAAAGTTACCAAGACTGGCATCACCAACCTTCAGTATGTTGATAACTCTGTTATCCTCATAGACACTGAAACTGATCTGCAGTCCATCCTTGACCTTTTCTCAGGTGCCTATCACAGTCTGGGACTCTCCCTTAACACTGGGAAGACCATCAGCCTACCCCAGCACAAGCTGCCCCCCTTCCCCCACAAATTATCATCTTTTGCATTAGATGGGATGACCACTGCACCAAAGCCAGCATCCTCTCTGCAGCCAACATTGGCAGCATTGAGGCAAAGATCATGAAACAACAACTTTGCTGGGCTGGCCACTGTGTGTGGATGGCTGATGCTTGTCTCCCAAAGCAAGTCCTCTTCTCTCAATTTAGTCATAATAAGAGGACCCATGGAGGAAGCACTATGAGGACACCCTGAAAGCTTATCTTAAAAAGTGTGGCATCAATCCTACAAATTGGGCAGGGCTGACTGGTAACAGGTCTCAATGGTGCTGCACCGTAATCAAACTACAGCCCACTTCGAAGAGAACCATCTTGCTCAGGAAGCCGAGAAACAGCAGAGGAGAAAGGAAAGGGCACAACATCCTGGCCAACAGTTGTGCCCCCACCAAGGCATCACTCGTCATATCTGTAGAAAAACTTGCAGAGCGTGGATTGGATTCCTCAGCCACCTTAAAACTCACCGGTAATCCCTCTCCCCCGCCTCCCAGAAGACATCTTCCTCATATTGAGGGATAGCTGATATACAGACAAGCTCTTGTATAAGATAGTTTAGATACGAGGTACTGTCTAGATCCATATGGGGATCAGATAACCTCCTGAGATCCCTTCTAGCCCTACTTTTCTATGATTCTATGGTGTTTCTATGAATGAGAAATTATTTATTCTCATTAGCAGTATTTCAGATCCTAAATCAAATTGTGACATTTGTGATGCATCTAACATCATAATGATCATAACTGAAAGCAAGCCTGAAAGGCATTGAGGATCTGTCTTCCAATTTAGTGGAATGGCAAAAGCTCTGTAGAAGGGTAACACTTTCCTATTTGAGTTACCAGCCATAAAAGTGTCAAGAATTGAAACGTGGCTTAATTCTTATACAGTTGTTTTGTATGGGTGATTTAACAGGACTTGCCTGTGACTGAACAGAATACACATTCATTGGCTGCATTTTTCAGTGTAATTTTTTCCACAGTTCAAAAATGGGCTTGATTATAGTGGCAAATAGAAATACTTTTGCTGTGCATCAAGTTGCAGGAATTTCATTTTTTTCACTCTATAGAACCATTCCATAGAAAACACTACAATTCTCATCTCAGTACACTTACCCAATTCCCATTCCCATTAGTGTGGACCCCATATTCAGTGAAAGCATACATCTGTATTTATCTCTACTCAGAAAATATTATGGATACCAAGACTGCTATCTACATAGTGCAAATACAATTCTTGTCAGCATATATTTCTGAGATTGTCGTGTTTACTGGAGTTGGTTCTGTTTTAAGCAACTGTATTAATACAATAGAACTGATTTATTATTATAATGTGTTAGGGCTTTCTATTTGTGTGAATATACATTCTTGCCATCAACTGCGTATAGTCATTTGAGTCATTATTAGGGCTAAATGAAACTTCAGGTTACAGGAACTCATCTCTCTCTTTCTGGGGTTAGTTCTGATGACCCCAAATTTAAAGCCCCCATACAACACTTTTTCTGGATTGGAGATGGTAAGCAAACCTCTGTTTTTCACATGGTATCTATCTTTAATGTAAAACTAGAGTTGACTTTCAGCTGAAACTCATCCAAGGCTTTCCATAACAATAAAATATCTGTGACCTTTGCAGAATGGCCCATATTGCTGGTTTATATTAAAAATTGAGCAGGGTGAACAGCAGGAATTCTTCCCATGTAGAGGATTCCTTCAGGTCCTGGGAGACCAGAGATGTCAGTAACTGAGAAACAAATGCAATAAGAAATGTTTCCACCTAGCACAGGAATAGTTGCATTTTTACAAAATGTGTGCAACATCCTCCACTCAGGGGATTCTCCTCAAAGCCTACAGATCTGTTATCCAGGCGAGTCTCACTTGAGAGCCTCTTCTTCCTTTTCCTTAGAAAATACCCATTTGGGTCTTATGGATCATAAAAAGAATCAGAAAAATGGCCAAATACAGTATCATGGCAGGCCCACTTTGTCTTTATGCTATTATAAGCATGTATACAAGCACTAGAAAACATATAAGCAGAGAATAAACCAATGAGCTAACAGTTCAGGGTAAATAACAGGAATCACCACACACACAAAAAGCAATGCCAATAGATCTATTGATAAAACCTAAATTGCGCATCACACCAGGAGGAACAAGAATTGCCCATTACGTATGTAAAATGACACCACTTATACTCAGCCCTGTCAGGCACAGCACAAGTAGCAAACTCCTGACTCCTTGCACTAATGCATCTCTGAGGACACTTCACTCATGCACAATCCACATACCTCAGAGCATTGATACTGTGGATGATGATGCTATATGGTGGCAAACAGCTTTTTTGCACTGGTTTACAGACTCGTTTTCCCCCATTTCATTTGCCAGTGAAGTGCAAATATTGCAGCAATTATGTACTGTCATTTTTATATGCGATTCACATAGCGTGTTTCTGCTGAGAGCAGCATATGCTGATGTGAATAGAATAGATACATTTGTGTGATTCCTCATAATACACGCAGTATTCGTCACAAGCTGCCAACCTGTATTTGTAGCATGGAGGAAGACATCTCCTAGATGTCCACTTGCTGTTCTGAATTATATTATGACCTTTCCATTAATAGATATCATAATGTGTTGCGCCTTCATAACCGCACTATTACAGCACAATCACTCACAAGTTTGCTGCCATTTAAAGCTCTTGAAATAGCCAAATACATATCTCAGCTTGACTAAAGTTGAGAGAGGAGAATCAGCTGAGGGATTTTCCAGGAAAAAAATCCCTATACCGCCTGTCAAACGTTGAGGCAGAGCTGATGTGAATTAATTTGGTCAGGTTGGGAATAATTTTCATGTGGAAATGGTAATAAATGGCATTTTTTTTGTATGAAACTGACATCAGGTTTTTACCTGAATGTCAAGCTAAACCTCCTCCACAAACAGCAGCTAGAATGCATCAGGAGAAATGATACTGAGGAAAACAGTCATCCTGTCTTGAGCCTGAAGTTACATGATTTCATAAGGAACGCAGATTCAAGAGAGAAAAATCTGGCCTGACAATTTACTTTACTAATAAAAATACAAGCATGAGAAACACCCGAATTGTAACAACCAGTGCAGTCCAAGCTCCCTCTTCTGGCCCTTGTGAATAATACATATCTGAGCAAAAGAAGTTCCTACTCGGGCACCTCTGACCAAAATCAACCAACAAGACACTATCCCATCAAAATTATTTACATGTCAACATTTTTATAGTAATTATATATTCTAATGCAAGGGTGGATCCAGAGACAGATGTTTCATGTTCAAGTGGGATAAAATGCAACGTTACACAATACCTCTTTATTTCCCTTGTCAATCTCTCGCTGTCTTGAGCAGGTGGTTCTACAACAGTAACGGGAGCAGGTGCCAAAGATACATCCTCAGGAACAGGTGCAATTCCACTTTCAGCTTCTTTGCAGCTATCTGGCTCCAAAGTGCTGCAAAAGAGTACAATTATCATAAATAATAAACCCTGTAAAACTTAACTTGGTGCTGCAATGTCTTCAATGGCATTTGTAAATTGCTGTAACTCTCATTAGCTGGCAGACTCATTGTTAAAAGTTTACTATTTTGTTTTCACACACACATACTACAGAATAAATAAATGACTGCAAACAGTCACAAATGGCTTTGTAAATTCCTTGGATAAAGTCTCCAACCCCAAACTCCAAAAGCACACTACAAACATTGAATTAAACTTTCTAATAAAGCAACATCTGGCAAGGTTGACAGCTACTGGGATGCAACTTTTAGTAATAAAAACACATTCAAAAAGTTCCCTTATGTTAACTATTCACTACAGTGCAGAACTAGAAATCTTGCAGTGTCCTGCTATATAAAAATTAAGGGGAACTATGGTGTTGCTATTGTTTTAATACTAAGAACAGCCTCTGTACTGCTGTGTCCTAAGAGAGATGAGTAGAGAATAGGTTTGCAGATTTAAAATCATGAGTTTTGAAGTTTGTAAAGATAATAAAGAAAGGTGTTTTTCATTACGCAAAGTCAGGGTGGTGCAAAGAAAGGGAGTTTAGTGAAAGAGTGCCCTCTCTTGGCCACATACGGAAGAGTACTGGGGGTGGTTAAAGTTCCAGTTGCAATTTTGTCATAGCATTTATTTTTTATGAAAAAAACAGAGGGAAGGATATAGTGAAAGGACAAAGGAGATGAGAAACCAGCAGTCAGTCACAAATCACAGGCACTAACATGGAAGGAATGCAGAAAATCATTATTTTATTGACAGAGTGGCCAGCACACAATGTGTTCTTTTAACAGGGAGTCTCACGGAACATAAAAGTTGAGAAAATGGCATTAGTCCTGTCCAGCTGTCGGTATTTCTCAAGTTGGTCTTTTGCTAACGTAGAAGGGGGAGGAAGGGTGCTTTCTATTTGATCCCTTAAAAGAATGAAACACTCCATGAGGACAATAATATGTCTCATATATACTTACACCCCTGTCAAATATTCAGTACATCTGCACCCACAGCAATTGTTAGACAGAGGTACCCACGTGCATTTGGCAGGCCTCACAGCCTATTTTGATCTCAGGGACGGTAACTCAGCTATTCACCACCACAAACTCATTAACTCATGTGGAAGCGGATGTTTTAAACAAATTATGCAATGGCTTCCATGACAATTCATAGAAGGTTAGGGCTGGAAGGGACCTCAGGAGGTCATCTTGTCCAACCCCCAATTGTAACAATAAAGAAGAATCTCTCAGACAGACCTTGAAGGGCTGCCTAGCAGGCTCACAACTGGGCCCATTTTCAAAGTAGCAGCAGCAAAATGCACATTAAAGCTGCTGAATGGAGAGGCAGAAAGGACAAGACAAGAGTGCTTCCAATTGAGTAGGAAGAAAGATAAGATGTGTAATTAAAGGGAAAGAGGCAGAGAGGTAAAGAGGGTGTGTGGTTGGGACTAAGGTAACAAGGAAAGGAAAGCCAGCTGAAATACTGATAGGTGAGAAAAGGAATAAGCAGCCTTCCTCCTCAGTTACAGCAGCCCCACCACACAGCTCCATCCGTCCTCTACTAATGGGGGTCCTCATTTTACAACTTACAAAACGCAAGGAGGAACAAAGAGCACACCGGAGAACTCACACTGCAGGCTGCACTAACAAGGGGCAAAAGGGTTTTGTAACCAAACACTTCTGTAGCGTCATAAAAATAAAAGCATCAACCAAAAACAACAGTAAAGAAAGCACCGTCCATCTTCAAAAAAGCAACAGCAACTTAATCAGCCAGTACAGGGAGCTGTAGCACAAATAAAATCCGCTTGCTCTGCAAGTTCAATCTTCCTTTCTGCCAGATGCTAGAATGTCCTTAAGGACCCAGTGCCTCCAAAACAAGGTCCTTCCAACCACTTGAGTCCATCTGTTACTGATTTTAACCCTTTAGTAACTACTATGTTTCCTGTAATTGTCTAAACTCATTACTCTAATGAAGGAAAGCAACTCCCAAAGATACTTTGTTCCAGGCAGAACTTTCCATGCAAGAAAACACCAGGTGTAACAAAAGCTTATCCAGATCAAACCAGATCAGCTTATAGTTAACCGACAGACATAAGGTAAAAAGGCACCGATTACGACATAGAGATTTTTCTCCCCCCACCCCACTTGGTTGTATTTAGAGGAGCAAAGTTTGCTTTTGTGGCTCCTAGGACACAGCAGTCACTGAATGCACATTAGAGATGTACAAATAAGAGTTCAACTGCGAAAGTGAAAAATGAAATCATTTTAGATCAGAAGACTTTTCAGTTTTGAAAGACAAGAATGAGGCACGATTCACAAAAGAGAAAGGGAGAAAGACTGCGGTGCTACTACCCCTTTTATTCAGTAGCATGATGGAGAGTTTCAGCCAATGAAAAAGTTTTGAAGGTTGATTGCCAAAATGGTTGGACCAGCATGGTGCTAGCTGGGATGACTAGTTCTGTGGGGAGGCATTCACCTAATATGTGAGAGAGCCAAGATCAACTCCCTCCTCTAACCAACAAGGTTTGGACCAAATGTCTGAGATCTTCCGGGAAAGGCCCCTGAACACCATCTTTTCTGGAAGCGGAGTTGCTCCTCATTTTTCCCTAAATATTCACTGGAAAAGGGACTGGGACCTAGGTACTTCACTCCCTGCTAAGTGCCCTAACAGCACTGTAAGTCATCTTCACAGCATGTCTCTGTCTCTCTCTCAAAGAATACATACAAAATTGATACAAAGTGGAACAGATTCACAAGGAAAGGCTGAGGGAGCACTCTCCCCGAGTCCCCTGCAGCCGGTGATCACTAGAATACCTTCCTCAGAGATAGGAGGACCCTGATTTACATCCCTCTGCTAACTCACAAAGGCTAGGGACAGACATGACACACAAACCAGTTTAAGTCATCAGAAACTGGTTTAAATCTTTAACAGAACATAAGTTCAGTGCACTTACGTGTAAAATGGCTGAAACTGGTTTAAAACAAGCCTGCTTCAATGTAGTATCAGACTTAACCGATTTGAGTCAAACTGGTATGTGCAATGTCTGTCCCAGACACCTTCCTGGTTTAAGTTAAACAAGAGTCCCCCAGCATTGCAGATACTTTGCAGCCCTGGGCTGGGCTGTCTGCTCCAGGGAACAGGGCTGGCCCAGCCCTTCTACTCCCTAGCCAGAGCAATGGCAGAGCCTGCAGGCACAGCAGGGTCTGCCGGCTTCCCTCTGCCCCACTCCCCCTTGCTGCTTGCTGCTTAAGCAGGGATCCCCCCTCCCTCCCATCTCCCACAGCACAGACCCTAGGCATGTGGTATGCTAGCTAATGTTGAGAGGTGTCTGTGTGCGCGTGTTTCCAATTTCACTGGGACAGGGAAACTGAACAGTGGGCTTTTTGGAGCTAATCAACAGGTCAGCTAATAATGTTCCTCCATCCCTTCCTTGGAAAAAGCTGTTTAAGAAGAGCTTGAACTAATGAGAGAGGCTTTTGTTTTGTTGATAGGCTGATAAACGCAGTGTTATCAGCTCCCGGCTGGCTCCCTCACCTGTCAGGTTTTCAGACAGTATGAAGAAGCAGGAAGAGGGAAATTGAAAAGCTCAGTATCATCAACAGATTTATGCACTGCCTTCCCTCCTCTTTACCTCAGAGTGCTCGCTGAGGCTGGCATCTGCAACACTCTTGCTTCTTGAGCAGTGAGTGGGGAAAAGCCTGGAACTGTGCAGGCTAGGGTGAGGGTTTACACCCCACCCTTATCAGAGGTGTCCTGCTGGGCCTGGCCACGCCTCCCCCTCAGCTCAGCACTGTAGAAGGGCAGGGAGGGCTGCTCTAGCACCCCCGGCTTTTAGCCTGAGCCACTGCAAGCATGTGCTTGCATTTCTTCAGTCCAGAGGGAATGTCTGTACAGTTGCAAACTGATTCAATCTAGGCAGGTTAGACTAACCTGCAAAGACTGAATCAATTCAGGCTCACACTTTTTGAATGTCTGTCCCTAGCCAAAGACAACATATTTCAAAGGGGCTTTCCACTAGTGCACTGAGCTCTGACTGCCAACACCAGCAATCTGAATCTAGCTCAATCTTTATTTCAAATGAAATGTCCAGCAAGTATGAACTAATGACTAATTGTTCCATATTTATGGAAACTACATTTTTGTTGTTTAATTAACTATTTTCTAGACAAAATTACCCTCCTGGCCTAAGTATGAGCTTCCCCACATGTCTGAAAGCAGGCATTACATTTTGTCTCGCGAATGTTGAGGTTTGTGACAATTTTTTATCTCTTCTGGTGAGGTTAGGGGAAAGGGGAATTTGTGATCCTGATCCAGTCAGTGGGAAAGCTCCATCTCCAGCACTCATGAGTCCCTAGAGGAACAGATCCAGTGTCCCACTAGAATACAGATATGGTAGGTGGCTCACACATACAGGAAGGAGAGGATCTATTTAATGACTCGGCAACAAAGGCAGACAAGATTATTTGGATAAATGTGATATCTTTTATTAGACCAGCTGAAGAGTTGGAAAAATTGTTCTTTGCAAGCTTTCAGGCATGGGTGCCCTTCTTTAGGCATAGGGAGAGTCTGCTGGTATATGTCTTGGCTCAACAAATGGCTTTGAAGATTCAAACGTGGTTTTAATTTTAAGGATGCATTTTGGAAATCTATCAGTTCCACTGGTCCATCAGGTGAAAACTGAAGTTTCTTCTAGGTTCTCAACAATTCACAAGACAGTCATTTTAGCTATTCCCATTAAAATCTCTACTGTCTAAGACTAGAATTACTCTGACCGCATGTGGGTACAAGTCTTTCTTTGGGATACATATGCAAAGTCAGAACGGCAAAAACTGCCGTCACATCCCTAACTTCAGTTACAGTGCAGTGTAATACATGAGCATGAGAACTTGTAGTTCCTGAAGTATACACCCATTTCCTTGCTAAGACCCTCAAAGGTAGTCCTGCTAAATTCTTCCGTAATTAAAGCCC